TTTAACATAAGTTGTAATTACTATTTGTCTCAATACCAGAGGAAGAATTAGAGTCGTTTCCAATTGGTTTGTATTTCATAAAAATGTTCATTAAATTCAATAATTGCTTACATTCTAAGCGTCATTTTCTTGTGAAAAGAACCCATGAATTATGGTAAATATTTATTATCATATAATTGATAAACAATAGTTAGAATAATGACATTAATGAAAACAAATCAATCGATTGTAAGCCAATCTGTTCGCCATCGATGAGGAGGTACTGAAGGAGCGTTTGGCCAAAATAAGCGATACGTGTCGTAAGAAACTGAAACCAGAATTGGGTAAATGCGTGGAGAGAGCGGCCAATCGATTCGATGTGGACGTCGGCAACGATAAGTTGGGTCCCAACGATTGCAAAGCGCTCTGGGATTTCATGTGTAAATCAATTGATAAACGCTTTGAATAATAAGTCGATTGATTACTATTACTAATAATGGATTCGCACTAAAAGGTTGTCTGATAGACGTTGTGGCCAAAGAGTGTGATGCGAGTGATCTGTCGGTCTTGCAATTGGGATTCACTGCCATTCAGAAAGTAATCGAAACTAAAGACTGTAAGAACTCTGGGAGGGGAACCGTCGACTGTCGGGCGCCCAAAACATAGTCTCAATAATTATGTGATTTAACATTGTTTAGTGTTTTAGCCATTTATTACATTAAAAATTAATACAAAAAATACTGTCTTCAACGCCTATATGTAGTAAAGTTTTAAATTCTTTAAATAAAAGTTTACATTGAAATTCAGTATAAAACTCGTTAAATGTGAAATTAATAAATAAATACACCATTTGTTGACACTTTAAGAGTTCGTAAAAATTTTTATGAAAAAAGGGACAAAAAAAAATTTAAATAAAAGTTTACATTGAAATTCAGTATAAAACTCGTTAAATGTGAAATTAATAAATAAATACACCATTTGTTGACACTTTAAGAGTTCGTAAAAATTTTTATGAAAAAAGGGACAAAAAAAAAGTTAATACCATTTGTTATATTAACCATAAATTTAAAATTAAGTATTTAAAGAAAATGTGAGTTTTAAAAATGTTTACAAAAATAATTGACTTAAGAAATTATTATAATCATCATTAAAGTATCAAACACTCAAAGAACTGAAAAAACTAATCAATTGAATAGTTTACTTAAAATTATAACATAAAAAGCAATAATTAAATACCGGTTTATAGGATAGGGAGGAAAACAATGCGAGAGTAAACTAATATACAAAATGATGACATAAATCAATGTATGTGTCAACTACTGAGAGGTCTGTGAGTTGTCGAGCATAGTCTCGTCGACGTGCGAGTGTTCGCTAATGCTTTGCGACAACGTTTGCGACAGAGAGACGGATCCAAAGTCTTCAATGATGGACACCTGCGACGAGTTGTGACCAATGAGTTCGACCTGTTTCTCGACCTTAGACTTTATGGTTTGCATCCGATTGAGCGTCAGTTTGGTCTTCACTTTGCGTTTGTTGAGCACTCTCTCAATCTTCTTAATCAATAGCCTATACTCTTTGATATCATGTGTTGTCATTTCCCGGAGACGAAGCACTGACAGCACACGTAAGTAATATTTGCTCCAAAGGATGTCGTCCACACCGTTGGCCACTATTCGGGTTATAATTCTGTTTTTAAAAGAAACGATTTGTTAATAAAAATCCATTTTCAAAAGTCGGGCACAACTACTAACCGATTGGCCACAGATTTGGCCAAATTCTTGTGGCCGTCATCGGAGATGAGTTCGAGTACAAAGTTAATAAGATTATCGAGATTAACGTAATTGAGTGCCTC